AAGGACAACAAAATTCGGTGTGTTACAAGATTTAGTTTATTTGAAAAATGTAATAATATTAATTAATTTTTTATTTAGAGTTAACAACAATATGTAATTATTTTAAATGTTGATTTTAGATTTCATAATATTTTAATAAATCTTATTGTAAATGATGATTTAAGGTGTATATGTAATACTTAGTAGTAAATTACTTTAAATTTTAATTTATATCCAATTTTAGTTAAAAATTTAATTTACTGAAAAATAGTTTTATTTGTATTAAGAACTTGAATTACATAAATAACATGAAATTTCACCTTTCACTTTAATTATAAATTTAAATTACAAAAATGTATTTTTATTTCTATTATGAATGAGATTTATATATATGCAAAGTTTTAAAATTTGTTAACTTTTATCGATTTAGATTCGTATACATGTAAAACTTTCCAAAATTATCTGAATCCTTTATGATTTCAATTAAGTTTTATCTATATATATATATATATATATATATATATATATAAGTAGGAAATTATTTAAATTTTAAAAAGATGTTATAACTTATACATTGCTAGAAATCACACTCTCTCAATCTTAATTAAAATTATCTATCCTAAAGTTTAATCTTTTTCATAGTACACATAAATAGGAGTTAGGATTTGGGATCAACTCTCCTTACTTAGTGGTCTCTCACAATCAAAGAGATGAGAGATGGTGTCTCTAAGACCAAGTTTTTATTGGAATTCAGAGGGAAATGCAAATTTTGACGAAAAGTATTATCCAAAAGACCAAGGTTCTTCCTATATATCACAAAATATAGCACTTTTGAAAAAAATAGAAAATGGAGAAAAGTAGAAGTGCGATTAGGAAATTGAGTACTAAGGAACTTACTAGGAATCAAACGGAAAAATGTCCAAGTTTGGATTTGAAAGAGGTTCAGAGTACAAAGAGGATTTTTCTAAGAAAGGAAAGAGAGAGAAAACAAAGAGAAAAGTAAGGGAAGATTGTTTGACTTGTAATACAAGTTTAGAACAGGTAAGTTCCTTGAATACCCTTTTTGGCTGCGAAATCTCGCTTGAGCAAGTGAGTTTTCGCTTGAGCGAGAAACTTTCTCCTATAAGCGAGAACAACAAACAAAAGGATTACCTAGTTTTTTGATAATCTTGCCTGTGTAAGACTTGGTCCAAAGAGATCTCACTTTTTCCTAGGCAAAAGGACAATTTGGGCAATATTGTCCATTCTCGCTTGAGCAAGAGTGCTCTACAGCGAGTGGTCCAAAACGACCAGTCTCGTTTGAGCGGACTTGTAATTTTCATAATTTCAAAAATTTTCTATTTAAAATAAAAAATAAAAATAAAAATAAAAATAAATATGCAACAAAAATAAGGATGTTACATCTATGACTAAGATTTTGAATATAGATGATAAAGTTATTTCTAAAACTCCTCATGTTATTTATAAGTGTTGAAATAACTAATAAACAACTTTAAAATGTTTGAAAATATTTTACTAAAATTGGTGTAGATAAAGATGATGTTGAAAAGTGTTTGTGCAAATATTGTGACTATGATTATGCTATCAAGAAAAATCTTAAGACAAAAATCACTATAGGGTTTCATGTCTAAGTCGTCATGTTTTAATTTATAAAAGTATTCTAAATTCAAGTATAAATGTAGTTCCTACTAAAGATGTAAAATTTGGAGTGAGAAAGATTAACAAAAAATTTTACGTAACATCCTTGCATAAGTCATAACTAAACATGATCTTCCTTTCAATATTGCAGAGAATGATATAATAAAGAAATGACTTAATTATGTAAATTTTAATGTTGTATTGCCCGGTAGGAATATTATTGTATCAAATAAAAAAAATTACATTAAAGAGAAGGAAAAAGTCAAACAACTCATGTTTAGTATTTCAAACTGAGTATATCTCATCTATGATGTTTGTACAGTAGCTACTAATGAGATTTATATTTACTTAACTGTTCATTTTGTTAAAGCGAAATAAAAATTAATAAGTAAGATTCTTAATTTTTGGCAAATAAAAGATCCTTACATTGACTTAAAAGTCAATTTATTTGATTGATTGAAGCCGTGAAAAATTGATAAAAATGAAGAGTTTTTTTTTATTACTAAGATAATGCTTGGCCAATTGATAATATGCAAGATATTTTGAAGAATCATATTTGTTTGCAACATAGTTTGTTGTTTGATGATGAATTTTTTTCATTGTGTTGTTCAGATCATATACTTAATTTGATTGTCTAAAGGGTCTAAAAGTAGTTAACACAACATTTTTTAAAATTAGAGAGTTAAGTACATGAGAGGGTTAGATCGAATGATGGTTAAATTTTAAGATTATATGCAAAATACTAAAATAGACACAATAATTGGGTTGAGATTAGATGTATCTACTTGGTGAAATTTGACATATTTGACGACATACTTGATGCGTAAGAGTATAATCAAGTATGAAATTTTTTTGATATTTTTCAAGTGGTTGATAGGAATTATAAATATTGTCTATCATGTAAAGAATTGAAAAAATAAAAAAAATCATGTAAATTTTAGACTCATTTTATAATACTAAAAACATGGTATTTGCACTAAATCTTAACTTTTCAAAGATTAAATCTTAATAAAAAAAATTTATAATGACTTATTCCAAAAAATATAATTAAGTCTTGTTTATATTAATATATTATATTTTTAATTTGTGATACTTGAATTTTGTTTGAAAGAAGTTATTAATAATAATAATTTTTGCAGTAAAAGAGACTTAATATAATGGCCAATTGGGTGCTACTCCATCTTACTCCCACGAAAGCACTTTAATGCAAGGAAATTGCTAGTTGCTTGATATTATTTTATGTTTTTGAATGAACTTGTCCTTTTTGTTTCAATGTTAAATGTTTGTAGCCTAACGTCTATTATTATTATTATTTTATTATGATTGATCTTTCTTTTTGCTCAAAGAAGTATAAAATTGTTAAAATATTTTCTCATTCTATTACTTCACCGCATTTAAAGAAACTTATTCTATTGTCCACATATGTCACAATTTTACAAGCTTTGCATGTTGGTCTTCCAAGGAAACTTCCATTGACAAGAAGATCTAGACAACATAGGTTGTAGAATAGGATATGAGGAAAAGGGCATAGAAGCAGGAAAAAATATTGATATGACATAGGGTGTAGCATGGGTTGCATCTAACATTAGAGTGCTTAACTCTATTAATCTTGCTTTCTCTTTGAGCTTAAATGGTAGTAATTTATAGAAACTTGGATACCACCTTTTGTGCTAGTCTGTTTCAGCGACGTTCTTCAAGTGAAGCCACTTTGCAATGAGGTTGGTGTTGGCAAGAATCACATATCTAAGAACTTTGATTGTTGTCACTCCTATTGAATCATGGTTTTGTTTCCTAATCTTATGAACTTATTTTTATTATTATACATACTAACCATTTTCTTCCTTTTATTTTTTGAAAGTTCTGCATATGACGTAAGTTAATATGATGCTTTTGATGTGGTAAGTGGTAACACTTCAAAGTCATGGGAAAGACTTGATGTGTGAGTTTCCTTTTGTTTACACTAACTTTTTTTTGCTACTTTCAATTACTTCCTGTAGTTTCTACCATGCTATATTATGCTTCATCTCTTTTTACAAACAAATCATGATATTGCCTTTAGATCTTCTTGCTGACAGACCTCCTAAGATACACAAATCAATGTCAATTGCTTGCATTGACTGAGGTGGTGCTTTTTGTTTTCATGTATTCTTATTTGGTTGGATCCAATTTCTCATGCTAAGGTATGGAAACAATTTCTGAGGCCAAATAAGCTTTTTTTTTTACAGTCGTACGAGTGAGTAATGGAATTATTTTTATTACTTATCAACACAATTTTCAATAAAAATTACCATTTTTAATTTCTTAATACACATGACTAAAAAAATTGATTAGCAAGATCTTATATTAAATGTTATTTATAATCATAAAATAATAAATATATTTATTTTTAATAAAAATATTTTTTTTTCCATATCAACTTCTTAATGTGTTTTATGAACATATATTAAAAAATAATTAAAAGATAAAATTAATCTATTTGTTGTTTAATTTTAAGATAAAATTCAATTTAGTGTTCTAACTTTTTTTTATTTACTTTAGTTTTTTAACTTTTACAAAAGTTTTAAATATGTCTTTTTCTATTAAAAACCTTTAAGCTTGTTATAATATTTTGTCTTCTTATGTCACATGTACTGTGCAGTATTGTTTATCATCTTTCTTTTTATATCTTTGACCTTATCTCGGACATTTCTTCATCTTCTTTCTTTCTTTCATCTTTTATCTCTTTATAGTTAAAATTTTATCTTATTGCCATCAATACTAATTATCTACCCCAAATCTTAATCTATAAATAAATTAATTTTTTAAATATTTTCTATCTTTGGCAAATTCGAATGCAAAAAAACCTTGTTTTTTATTGTGCTTTGAAATTTTAAAATACAATATTCTTTTTAATAAAGGTAAGAAATTATGATAACATGAAAAATTAATAAAATAAAAAATATAAATATTTTTTTGATCCGTTGAAGATGAAAAATGAATATTTAAAAAATTAGACTGTTTATTGTTTGAAATTTGGAGTGAGTATTCTATGTTAGTATATTTTGAGTATAAAAAAATAAAAAGAAAAAAAAGGAAGAGATATGTCAAAAATTTAAGAAAAAAGATGATAAACAGGATTGCCCAATACACAGTGCATAAAATAATAAATTTTCTTAATAAAATTAAATTATTTAATAAAAAAAATCTATTTAAAAGTTTTATAAAAATTAGAAGATAAAAATAAATAAAAAATTAAATTAAAAGACAAAAAAAATAAAATAAATTATAAAGCGTCGCTGCAGAGGTAACCCTACCCGATTTGGGCCAGTGACGGTGCTATTAAATAAATAACAACCCTCAGTGCTATTAAATAACAACACTCCGTGCCGAAGAGAGTGAAACACAGAAAACAAAAAATGAGTTTCTACTGTGGGATGAAGACAATTTCTATTTTTCTCTTCTTCTTTCTTGTTTCGGCATTAGGTATCTTCTCTTCTTCTTCACATTCGTTCTTTCCACTCTGTCCACCTTAAAATCTATAATTGCAACACCTCTTTCCATGGTTCTTCATTGTTCTCTGCTTGATCCGCAATTACTTCAGATCTTGTTAATTCTTCGCTTCAATTGACCAATGCTTGCGATTCTTTTTCCTCATTGATAATTTTTCTTCGTTTTTTGTGTTTTAGTCTCTGGGAAGAAAGATGGTGATGTAATTGAGTTGCAGATTGGCGTGAAGGTAACATGTTATTTGATTAAGACTAATGTCCTCTCTTTTACAGTCGAGGTTTAAGGTTTTGAATAAATTCTATGGATAATTGAGAAAAAAATGAGTTTTCATAAAGTGCTTTTTTTTTTTGTTAAAATTCATTGCTTGATATGTGTTTTTTTTTAAGTTGATCTCAATAGATGTAATGGGTATTGGCTTGCCTTGAGGGATTCCAATTTGTTGGAAAATAATTGACTGTGAGTGTAACCACATTGAACAATCCGAACATTTGTGAGGAAACTGTACAAGTATAGTTTCCTTAGCTTAGCTGCCAAGTCAAATGGTATTTTTGTATAAAATAGTCGCATGCAAATGTAATCCAGTGCATTTCCTTGGACCTATAGGTATTGTGAATCGTAAGTTGTAATCAGGTTTGTGTAGAAGAGCAGTGAAAAGCTTTGGATGGGGTAGAATGTATTGTTACAATGTTATGCTTTGAAAATGGTTAAAGTAATACTTGGGCTTTTAGCGGATAAGTCTGGCTATAGCTTTGAACGATATAGCTAGTGGGGTATACTGTTCTTTCAGAGGAGGAAGTTAAGGTCCAGTTATGGAGTTTACAGATATATGCTGTCTGCTGCAAGGTTGTGAGTTAATGTTGGTAGATTGTTAGTAAGGATAGAAATAAAAATGTATGGTAATTTGTTATAGATATTGAAACAGGAAAATATTATATTTTTTCCCCTGCAAATGATGCAACATTCTCAATTTTCAGCAGGTTGCTTACTATTAATGCTCCCTGTTTCTTTTCAGCATAAACCAGCATCATGTGAAGTTCAGGCACACAAAGGTGATAGAGTCAAAGTACACTATCGGGTGAGTAGTTTCTCAGGTTTATGCCTTCTTCTGTTAAGGTAAACTTAAGCAATTACCACAATCGAATCTTTGGGAGAGGGGAAGGATGACAGAACCAAAGCATAATGAAGGTAAAGGAAGGAGAAGAGGATCGGAAGTTAAGTAATAAGTAATAACTAACCAGTTTCCTTCACTTTGTTTGAATGTTTAAAACCTCAAAATTTGGAAACTTAAAAATGTTCATTAAAATAAACAAGGGTGGGTTTCAGAGGGTCACATGACAGTCTCTCATTTTCTTCCTCTCATTTTTTTTAAAATTCCTCCATCCAAGTGAAAGTTTCACTTAAAAACTTCTCTCTGAAATTACACTAGATATCTATATAGTAAGAAGCATACATATGGGATATGAAGACACAACAAAACATGGACAAATTGAACATGAATGCTATTTTTTTAAACTACCCTCTTTCATTGTGTTTTTAAAACCTTACACTAACCTCTGCAATATTCTGAAAACTTATGCAGACATTCATTGAATTTCATCTAATTTTTATACACTTCACCAGTGAACAGAGGTGTGAATGGATTCAAAAATCATGCAAGTGACTGTAATTTACTCTGAAAATTATATAAATATATAACACAATGGTATAGGTAATTATGAAAAAAATCAATAAACTAGTGAAAAGATGGCTAAAACTTGTCTATATATAACTAGTGAAAGAATATAAAAATTGTTAATAGTAAATTATTTATTTATTTTAAGAGTGCAGTTCAAGAGTTACATTGGTGTTTTGACCTGACCTGTGTCAAACTAAGACATGGGCACTGCTCCTTTCTTTATGCATGAATTCTTCGTAGATTTGAGAGATTACCTATAATTAGGTCCTTATCTTGTGTTCCTACCTCTGAAGAAGTTAATAATATGAATTTCATCTGCTAAAATATTTTTGAGAAATGAAATTTGTACAAGGAACAATTTATTGACAACATTTGTTGATCCTTTATTGTTTGTGAATCATTTTTGAATGAAAAAAGATAAAATTAGAGGGACAGAGATAAATGATACTGTGTCAATTACAATGTTTAAAATTCAATGTTCAAACAATAGAACTCAATATTTTTAGTCTTGTGTGGATTTAATGTCACTTTCTAGAAGTAACATTATTTAACTGTGCATTTTCTTCTTGATCTTCCTTGGTGGTTTATTCTAATCTGATTAGTAATCTGACACACCCCATTGAAAGAATAATGGGATAGGGAAGATGTCTGAAACATAATCATTATTGCAAATCACCTAAAGTATTACTTGGGTATCCTTGCTTCTGTTCCTATTGAGTTTCAGGCAAACCATGGGAAGCTTTTTAAGTTACATACTTTAAGGAACTATTATCATTTTAAATCTCATTTCATTTGTCCATGTGATTAGGGATCATGTATTCACTTTTTTCTTTTGTCAATCATGTTCTTGCATATTAATATATATTCACTTGTGTTTGCAGGGAAAACTCACTGACGGAACTGTTTTCGATTCTAGCTTTGAAAGAAATAATCCAATTGAATTTGAGCTTGGTAGTGGTCAAGTGATCAAAGGTATGTTGTGCATAAACAACATTTGTCTTTTCATTACTAATAATGGTGGTAATCGACTAGCTGCTATGCTTGCTTTCTCAATTATTGAAAATAAAAATTAATACATAGATAAAACAAAAGAGAGAAAATTTGCTGCAACTGTAAAATAATTGCTTTATTTGAGAACAGTGCTTTGCGTGGGAACATTAGAAATTGGCATACTTCAATCCTTTTTTACGTGCTAAATATCTTTAGACAGTTAGTAATTTGTGATTCAGATCATGATGCAAAATCGCTTAGGGATAAAGGAACAATTCCAAAATAAATATTTGAAAGAGAAATGTTACTTGTATTGTTGAATGATTAAAAGGAAAATACATGAATGATCTTTTGTCCACAAAGCAAGGCTCCTAACAAAGAGCTATAGCTCTCTATCTCCAACGAATTCCATAATCTTTTCTGGTTTTCCCAGATACCACTCTGTCCTCACTCCATCCTAATATAACAGAAAATCACTCAAAACCACCTTGGGCCCACACTTTCAAGTATAACAGAAAATCTCCACCGTGCACTTTCTAGTATCTTCTGTTAGCACAACTCCAGGCTTATAAATCATTATATCCTTTAGATTATTTAATTTATGTCCACCTATTATATGGGCTTTATACTAACATACGTGCATGGCTGTATTTATATAATCATGCTAAGTTTGAGTGATGTAATTTCATTACAATTACTGGTTTATGGGGAATTTTCTTTCAAGATTGAGGATTTCATGATAACTCCGTCTCTTCTACGCAGGGTGGGACCAAGGATTATTGGGAATGTGTCTTGGTGAGAAGCGGAAGTTGAAAATACCAGCAAAACTTGGCTATGGAGAGCAGGGTTCCCCACCCACTATTCCAGGTAATTTATCATGCTGATAATGATAGGAATGCTCAAAAGCCAAAACCTATTTCTAGTTTTTAGTAAAGTTAATGTTTAACTGCTAGATAATAATTTATAGTTAATGTTCCTCACCTGTTAGCGTGGACCACCAGATTGGTCTCCCATGCTACATTAGCAGTTCTGATTCCTGTCTCCTTAATATTATTATTATCCCACTTTAAAGCTTTAGGTGAAAATTGCAACGTGCCTTTCTATGTAAATCTAGTTTAGATCATATTTATTTACTAAATTTTTAAAGACTTTCTATATGAGTTCATACGGGAAAAAAAATAAATTCCTATAAGATGGCGTTGGGTAAACAATGTTAAAATAATGGCGTTTCCTTGAATATTAAATTTTATAGATTGTATTGCTTTCCTTGTTACATCTCACTATATTATTGATATGGGCTTATATATAACTTGTAACTGACAGGTGGGGCAACACTTATATTTGACACTGAGCTTGTGGGAGTGAATGACAAAAGTTTAATCGAAGAAAAATCAAACTCCGAACTCTAGACACATCAAAAGAAATGGAAAGTTAGACTTTTGGCTATTTTTTTAGCTTATTTTGTTTCTTAATAATGCTTTGATCGCTAAGGTTTCACTGTTTAATGCTGAAGCTAATTTAGAAAGATTTGGCTGGTGTACCGTATCATTCGAAATCATCTACCTCTAGTAGTATTTGAGAAGTTTCATGGTAATGTTTGTCATTTGATCTGGTATGTTTTGGCCTCATAATTTCATGTTGTCAAGTTGGATATATATAGTTCAACATACAAAGACAATCTATTAAAAAAGGTAAAATAAATTTAAATATGATATAGTTTTTATCTACTCCCATCAGTATTTTTAATAAAACTCCTTTCAATTAAATCACACAATGAAAAGTTGTTAGAAATAATTTTAGTGTATTGATTTTTTTAAAATACATTTCAAGTTTTCTTCTATTTGAAGATAAATTTTATTATTATATTAATTGTTCATAGTTTAAAATGGTTCAATAATGAAGGTTAAATATGTAAAAAATAAAAAGTGCTCATAAAATTTTATAAAAAAGTCTTTAATGATTATTAAGATTTATTCTAAGATTTTACAAAAGGGATTGGAGTACTCTATAATAAGCGTTAGTAAATTAGGGAACGAGTAAATATAAAATATTAGAAATTAAGTAAGATTACCTTCTTTTTTATTTATTTGTCAAAAGAAAAAAATTGTACAAATAAAAAATTTAAATAATTTTTTTTCTTAATTAATCCTTTATTATAGTATTTTCTTTTGATTCGTAGACTACATAAGTAGTATAAATGTATTATATGAATAAAAGAATAATAATTAATATTTTACTGTAATCAATATTTATTTTTTATTGAAAATATTGTTTGAATTGATTTACCGTAATTTTGAAGTAAATTAATATATAATATCATAAATTTCACTATTTTTTATATTTTCCGTACAACTCATAATTAAAAGAAAAATTTTCAGGCATTAAAAGTGATTTCAGCGAGGGATAAAGATACATCTTGAAAAAATGATAAGATAGAATTTTTTTTATTCACAAGTGTGCCAATTGTATTAAGTTTTATCTTTACAAAAATTATTTTCAATTACTAATTTACTAATTGATACAAATTATTTTCTATCGGGAGCCTGGCTTCAATGGAAGAATCACAAGAAATATTCTATCTTAATAGAAATTATCACGCCCAAAAGAGAATTGAGTCCCTATGTACTCTCATTATTTCCTTTTTTTTTTTATGGACATAAACTTTCCAAACCTAAGAATTAGTTTTCTCTTTATGGACTAGAGGGGCCTTGGACCCAATTCTTTTATTAAATATAAGGTTATACTTTAATATTTGAATTCAAATTAAAGTATGATTTTAAAGAAATTGAGACCAAAAACTTAAACAAGGTCAATCCTCAATTTCAGTAATCATCAATCAATTACATGTCAAATTCATGATATTAAGTTGAATTTAATTTTTTGAATTTAACTCCTTTGTTTGATATAAGAAGCTTAATTCTATTGATGATCATAATCAAAATAAATATTAATAACATAATTAATATGAGATCTCACCGCTATTAAACCTTAATTTAGATCTAGATTCTTTTTAATTTACGTGAAAATAAGACGTCTAGTTTTATTTTTACTTGAATTTAGATTTGCTTAAGTGAAACTGCATTATCATTTAAGTAATTCATAAAAACTTTGAAAGCTCACCTCCCATTAATTAATGTTTGAAAGTGTTAGTAACAAAACAACAAAAGTATGTAATAAAAAGACATAAAAAGAATCAATGAAAGAAGTGGAATAAGAGCTCACCTCCCATTTGATGTATAATATAGGGCTTTAATGGCAATGACAGAGAAACAAAGAGGAGTGTGACTGTGCGATTTATCATTCCCATGTTACTATTTCTTTTTACTTTTTATATTGCGATGTTACAATTCCTTTCATTATTTTCAACAGAGAAAAAAATATTTATATTACGAATATGATAGAGAATTGTTTTAATTTTCTTTCTTATTCCTTCTATGGGTTTTATATTCAATAAATTATATCAATTTTTCTAGAATTCTAAAGCATATTCTACTACACTTCATTGACTGTGGCTAATAAAACTATTAGATTCTTAGATGTAATTTCTATCTCTAGTTATTTACTATTCCAAAATTACTGTTACTCGGTTGATCTTAAATTTCATAATTCTCACTTAGATATAAGTTCTCACTGCAATCAAAGATTTAAAGAGGACAAACCTAAATCCATTGGTTATGATGTGATCTTCCTTTTGATAGAATGATTTCTTAGGATTTTTCCTAGCTCTTCCTTCGTCATTTAGTTTCCCTTTGATAGTTGAGAGAAAAAATGTACTCTTCTAATTACCATAAGAAATTAAATGAGTTAATGTGTGTGTAACCCTTATTTTTCTACTTGCTCTTTTATTTTATCTGAAAGGAGAGGGGAGAGTTTATTTTTAATGTATTTACAATTATACCTTTCATTGACTCTATCTTTTATAATTAATAACCATCGTATTAAATCCTTTAAATAGAGTCAAGTCATAAGTTACATGGGTCACTTATTAAATTACTAAAATATATAAAATATCTAACAAGCTCCCACTTGACCTATGTGACAACTTAAAGATTCAATAAACTATAAGTTCACACTATACATTGAAGTTATCAAGTCATCATGTTTAATTGATTTGAAATTATTGGATCATAATGGTCACAAGTCATTTAATAATATGATTCTTTCCAAGTATCACAGAACCAACTCAAATAAAATAACTTTAATTAATTTCACTATAAATTGTAACTTTGATGTATTTTTAACACTCAATCTGTTATTATACTTAAACCATACATGTTGTAACATCCTTATTTATTTAATACAGTAGAAAAAATTATTTTGGAGTCGAAAAGGGAAATTAAATTAAATACATTTGCTCGCATAATACCAAGTGCAGATATATAAACGTTTCATTTAATTTACTCATTTATACAAAAATTTAAATGACAAAGTAATGAAAATTAAACAAACTTACGTAGAAAGTTGAAATAACATTAATATATACTGTTCTTATAAATTTACAAGAAGTCAACATTTGTGAAATATAACTTCAAAATACATTAGGACTCGTTCATATCATTTACAAAATACAAAAATATGACAAGTCCTGATGAGTAGTCTATCCACCAAGGAACTGAAGACACTATTAGTCATCATCCTTAAACCACCTATCTATCTCTGCTATATCTTCTAGGGATAAATCTTTGTCTTTATCAAGGCCACCCTCATCAACTACCAGTTCAGGACCCGTGATCCGCTCGGTGGTGCAATGACTTGGTCTCCCATGTTGATCATGACCTAGAAAAGTATACACATAATTTCATGCATTTGGTGGCCTGGTCAAACCTTTGTATATATTTACGCATACAGTATGGTGGATTCTACTACTGCTAAGGTAATCCAAGGGTACATCATATCCTATATTCATCTCTAAGGTAAATATAATACTAAAACCATCATTACTGCAATGGCATAACCCCTGCCATTCCCTAGCTACATTATCTATTTTACTGGTGATAAGTAACTCAGACAAACTAACAAGTCCCTATGGGTCCGTAATCTTTATTCCCTAAAAAGTTATGTAAGGATGAGCCTCTCTTCTCATTACCAAACATAAATTCACATTTAAGTCAAACAATACAAGCAAGGATAATACATTAATCAATCACACAGTACAATCATATTCATATACATATAATTATTCATATACATATAATAATTATTAATTATTCAATTTATCACATTTCCTTTCTACTAATTCTTGGAGTTCTCATTTCACAATTTCCCTGCCTATGGGATTCCTTGAGATCTTCCTTAACATAAATAGTTGCTGAATAGCTGTAATTACACGGATACAATGTGTGCTGACTCGACTCCTTTTAACAAAAGCATAGTCAGGAGTTTAGGTCAAGAAATGAGTGTGAGGCATGTGATACTCTTACTCTCAGTTGTTATGTGCAATTCAAGAAAAGCATCCACCATCCTCACTTCCCTAAGATTTTTCAAATCGTCTCCATCTTCTAGACTCTCAATGTATCTCTGAACCATCCATACTTGTCTTTATCATTTCCTTTCTCATTCCATTTCTTTTTTCATATCTCCCATCTCATTTCCATGTTTTTCATTATGATTCTACTATTCTCATTAGTCATATAGCATAAACTTATCATCTTTATAGTAACATATTATTCATTTTTTTCTCTTTCTAATTTGTTCAAGTTCACCTCATACATACATTTATTTTCAATCCACATGCCATTTCAATTCATCAAGAACAAGAAAACTCATGTCATCCATAAAATCATTTAGACATATATTCACAAACAAGGACACATAGCCACATCCATACAAGTACAACAAATCATGTTTTCAGTAACGGAATAGAGCTCTTCTTACCTCAATGGACAAGTTTAGTGAAAAAGTTAGTAGAAAGGGTGGTTCAATGAGCTAAGATCTTTTGAGAAGAAAGAAAACAAAGAAAATAGAGATGAAAACAAAGAGCTAAGCTCTAAGATACCTACCAACGATTTCGTATAGTCGAGGTTCAAGCTCGGATTCAAAGTAACTTTGGAGTTTTTTAGGCTTTTCTTTAGAGGAGAGAAGAGAGTTTATAGAAAAAGAGTTAGAAAATGTTTCTTAGATTGAAATGCAAGTCTCAGGTTAAAAATCCCTTAAATACCCCTTGAACCTCGCAAGCGAGATTATTCTTGCTTAAGCGAGCTCCATCTCGCTTAGGAGAGATATGCAGACAGTGATCTCTCCAACTATTTTATGATAATCTCGCTTAAGCGAGGCCAATCTTGCCTGAGCGAGATGATGTCCAAAAAGTTGAACTTCCTGTGAGTTCTCACCTAAGCGACTCATCTTACCTACGCGAGATCTCAGCTCGCCTGACAGTTGAGCTGAGTTTATCTCATTCTCGCTTGAGCAAGACTTATCTTACTTGAGCGAGAATACCCTGAAATCTTGTAGTTCTGGATGCTCAATCTCGCTTGAGCGAGATCCCCTACGCCAGACTTCTATCAAAGCACTCATAAATCATTCCCAAACACATTCTAACAGTATCTAATATCAAACAATTTACAAATTAAACAAACAATGAAAAAGAGGGTGTGACACATGTACACAACACAATTTTAATA